GAATAACAAGAGCAAAAGGCAGCTTGGACTTCTTCAGTAGCGAACTTGTTGTCGGGACGGCGTTCAGGGTCGAGCGAACGTATTTCGGAGGGCAGTTGGCATAGGGAGAAGGGTAAACGCTGGTCTAGCGGGAAAGTCAGCAAATCCAATAATTCGCAACTTGGAAACATCAGATACATACACCGGGCGGCAGAACAATGGGGGGTGGCGGGTAATCGAGCTCGGCGACATTGAAGGGCTGGGTAAGGAGATCGGTTGGGTAGAGTTGGTTGAGGGGAACAGCCCGCGGGGCCTGAGCCTGGGGAGCTTGGGCGACCGGCTGCGGTGGCAGGAGGTGCGGATCGGTCATGCCCATAGCACCAAACTGCTGGGTCATCTGTGCGACTTGAGGGCTGGCGGGCGCCGCATATCCTGGGGCCGCAGCCTGCATCTGAGTTGGGTCTGCTCCATACATAGGTTGCTGGTATCCCGCAGCCTGTGGTTGCGGCGGGTATGCTCCGTAGCTGCCACCGGCGGGCAACTGACCTCCCAGAGCAGCATTGGCACCAGATCCAAAGTCAAAGGCTTCGCCGGCATAAACACGCTTCTTCCGACCTCCAGCCTGGCCTTGGGCCGGGGCACCAGTAGCCAACCCCGCGGGTTGTTGCACGGGAGACCCATAATCGGCAGGCTGACCGTATCCTTCCTGGGGAGGGTAGCCCCCTTGTGGTGCTGCCATGGAGGATTGTGTGTATTTATCGTCTGTCGGCGGGGGGGGGAAAGGTGAAGTGGTTTCCCGAGGGTTTGTTAGGGCGGTCTCGAGGGTGTTGCGCGGTCGGATAAATCGTCACTGGCTCACTGGATCGTCGGTCAACATTCGAAGTGGGAGGTGGGAAAGGGGAATGGAAGGCTAGAGGGACGGCGGCATACTAACAACCAAGGATTTACCGGATCGCAGAAACACAGGTGACAAACGGAGGGGAAAGAGCACGTCAATGCCACACTCCGGAGCAGGCGAGGTGTCCTGAAAGAGTTGGGAGGAGCTGTGGGAGTCGGAGAGGCGACGATGAACGATGGAGGATGATAGGATGGATGATGGTGTACGGTGGCCTTTGCGGCTGCCGCGCCTGGGCCAATCAGCTCCCCGCGGCCTAACCGACTCTCAATCAACTTTCACTGAAGCCCATTATTTGGGCATATTCTATTGAACCAGTTTTAATATAGATAGGGTTGGAATACAGGGAATACAAGTAGACTTTCGACTCTCAATCTATTAGGTTGAGGAATATAATGGCTGTGTTAACATTTTTGTAAGTCATTGGGTAGTAGGTAATAGTTGTGTGGTAGTCGCTGCCTTGGGCTTATGATCTCATACTCATCAGGGATGTCAGTACTGGTTATACTCTAGCCCTACAGCATCAATCAGAAGCTCGAAGACTGACAGAGCTCTATCTATTGATCGAGACCCTTGAGCTTGACAGGTTAGATTGAGAAAGCCTTAGTCATGGGTCTACATCATAAACTATGCACCCACATGCTACTACTATGGTTTTTCGATGGTGCTTGAGCACTAATTTATATATTGAATGCTGACTGCAAAGTATCTACAGCACACACTGATCTTGTACTACCAAACAATAGAGCACATGGACATAACAAAGAAGGTACTAAGTAGTACAAACACATTCTTTCGAATCCAACGACATTCCTCAATATGACTTTTGCAGGCAAGAAGCAAAAGAAACCATGGCGATGCACGATACTGCACCCTAAATCGGAAGGGTGGGATGCCTGGGGTAGACGAACGTGGGAGGTTGCCGTGCCAACAACGCTGACCGCTGCCAGTCGCACCACACCGAAGCTATCCCTGTCGGTTCACAGAGCACATTGTCTCTAACCCACCGAGTCGTCGGCCCACCGTTTATCGTCAGTTTGCTTTCTGCTGTTGTTTTCTGTTTTATTTCCTTCAATTAGCTGCTCATTGCCGCCTGGTGTGCTTGGATTGCGGGTTGTCGATCCAGCGCCTGACTTTTAGGATCCAAGAGTGCAAAATACTTCGACGGCAGCTTAATTTACGTTTAGCTGCTCACTATTGGTCCTACCTCTACGATTAGTCGAAACTCATTCTTATGCCGCCATAAGTATCGTCACCTCAATTGGTCAACAGGGTTGGATCGGACAGCTTGAAGCAACGATACAACGAAGTCCCGGGACTACATCCACCAACCGTTGGCGATAATTTCGAATCCATTTCATATCAACCCCCCTGATACACAATGAGCGTCCGGGTAGTCGCGCGGGTTCGACCGCTTCTCAAATCAGAACGGGAGTTAGATGTCATCCTACGCACTGGATCGTCCAACCAGGCAGTGCCTGGCAAGAGCGATAAGACGAGCTCCCAGGGGAAAGGCGCACTGGCAGCCTTGAGGGATCGGGATAACCTAGTGCGGATTCCGAACCCCAAGAACGAAGGCGAAGAATACTCGTTTCAGTTCAATGCTGTCTACGATGCGGAAGCTTCGCAGCAGGAGCTCTTCGATGCAGAGGGTTTGTGACGCCAATAATCTGGGAGGTAACGACATACTGATGGAACGCGCAGTTGCTCCTACTGTCAAGCATCTTTTCAATGGCTTCGACGTAACGATATTTGCATACGGGGTTACAGGAACTGGAAAGACGCACACAATGCGAGGCGGTAAAAGCTTGGCTGATCGTGGCGCTATTCCTCGTCTCCTGAGCAGCATTTACAGACGCAGCCGGAAGATGGAGAAGGACAGTGACGGGGAAACTACTGTCAAGGTGTCTTTGAGCTACTACGAAATCTACAATGACAAGGTTTACGACCTATTCGAACCCCCCGAGAAGAGGACGCTGGCAGGTCTACCTCTTCGAGACAACGGCGGCAAGACAGTCGTCGTGGGTTTGACGGAGAGGCCATGCCATACTCTGAAGGAATTCGAGCTATTGTATGATCAAGCCAATACTAACAGGTCCACATCTGCAACAAAGGTTTGCCCCCACGCTGTTCCCGAAAGAAGGTCGATATTAACCATTGTAGCTTAACGCCCACTCATCACGATCTCATGCCATCCTCTGCGTGCGCGTCGCAGTCACCACTGGAGATAAAACGCGCATTAGTACCGCATCTGCTATCGACCTTGCTGGCTCCGAAGATAACCGCCGGACGGATAATGACAAAGAGCGCATGGTTGAGTCCGCTAGTATCAACAAGAGCCTCTTCGTCCTGGCTCAGTGTGTCGAAGCAATCAGCAAGAAGCACTCGAGAATACCGTATCGAGAGTCGAAGATGACGAGGATTCTATCGCTGGGACAGAACAATGGGCTAACTGTGATGATATTGAACCTGGCGCCGGTCAGGTCCTACCATTTGGACACCATAAGCTCACTCAACTTCGCCAACCGCACGAAGAAGATCGAAGTGCGCGAGGTAGAAAACGAGCCAATGTTCAAGGGGCCCCCTAGACCAGCATCGCGGCCTTCCGTGACAGCCCAACGGCAACCCCTGCGGCCTCTGACAGCTTCCGTGAACGTGAACCTGACTGCCGCAGCCAAAGACAACACCAAGACCCTCGAAAAGCCCGCAAAGGCTTTCCACGTCTACTCGGATAAGACGCACCCTAGAACTACCACACAATTCAAGAAACCGGAGCCCCCTAAGCGGACTTCCATGAGCTCCCGGCCTTCTCTGAGTTCCGATATCTCCCGCCTCTCATCGAAGCCTTCTCGTCTCGCTCAACCAACACAGCAGCCTCAAAAGCACCATGACGACATCTCCGCGGCCAAGATCGAAGAGATGGTAGAAAAGAAGGTCGAGGAGATCCTGGCTGTGCGAGCGGTCAGTGAGCAGTCGAGACAAACGCAGGTCCGCGAACTGAATGAGCAAGTCCAGCGGCGTCTGGAACTTCTCGAACAACGCATCGAAGGCTCCGAAGATGCAAGGGCCGAAGGTCTGTCATACTTGCTCATGGCCAAGCAGCACCAAGCACGTGGCGAGGACAGCTTCGCTCTCAGGATGTACCAGCTGGCCCTACCATACTTCCCGGACAACGAGAAGTTATCCAGGAAGATTGCCAGCCTGAAGGAGCGTATGCACGGCAAACCGCGCCAGGACGCCGACACCACCGGCACCGTCAGTCACTCCGGGCACAGGCGAGAACTTGGCAGTATGCTATCCCTCAAGAAGCAGCCCGCTAAGACGCACCTCAAGCGCGTTGCTGAAGACTCGGACGCGGATTATGAAGAACCCGAAGCGTCCCTCGAACAATTCAGCGACGAAGACATCGAGGAAATCACCCACGCCAGACGCAAGAAGCGCACAAAGACCAAATCCCCATTGGACGACGAACGCGCCAGCGTCGACATGATGAACGAGGAACCGCCCTCTCCACGCACCATCCACCTCCTCTCCATCATCAACTCGCGCGACGTCAGCCAGATCAAGTTGCTGAAAGGCGTGGGAGTCAAGAAGGCCGAGGCTATCGTTGACTGTCTATGCGAGATGGATCAACACAACACCAGCCAAGATGAAGAAGCGCGGTTCCACATCAACAGCCTTGCGGAGCTGAGCCAGCTCAAGGGTGTGGGTGTGAAGAGTGTCCAGAGCATGCGAAACGGAGTCCTGGTATAACAGTACAGACATTGTGCATTGTTTCTACGTTTGGAGCTGGGAGTTCACTATATACATTGTCGACTTGCATTGCCTGTTGTTTGCTTGCTAGCATATCTGTTTTCTTGTGGCTTTATCATTCATTGCCGTGGCTTTGCACTGCACAGCGAAGGTGTTTGGGAGTTGACAGAGGATCGAATCGAAGCATCTATATAGGCATCTATCTATTCCAATTATTGCTCGAGATACTCTTAAAGCACTATACCATCTATTTTCGTCAACATGATTACTTGCTTGCTAGCACAAAATCCCATCATTTTACCACAATATAAATCACCACCACATCCCCATCCCCATCCCTCCCATCTCCCCACCACTTAAAAATACCCACCACTCAAACCCTCTTCCCCCACCACCCCCTCCACCCAACAATCCTCCCCTTCGCAGCACAATAAAACCCTGTCCCGGCAAGCATAACCACCGCACAAAACACAAACAACTTGGTATAACTCCCTCCCAGGGGATCCGGCAACAAAGCGCCCGCAATCGGCGTGCCCGTGAGCGCCGCAAACGACACAATGCAGAAATACGTCCCGCTGCGCACACCAATCTCCCTGATCTCGGAGATCTGGGCCACCAGCGCGGGGGCAAGACTCACCACCGTGCCGGAGGTGAAGCCATACAGGGCGCTGAAGACAATGGCAGGGGCGTTGCCGGTGGAGGGAAGCCAGAGTGCCAGAACGAGGATCCCGGATGCTAGTGTCATTAGGATCATGAGATTGAAGCGTCCGAAGACGTCCGCCAGGTAGGGCGGGATGATGCGGCCTGGAAAGCTGTATATAGGTCATCCCCCCGGAGGGGGATGTAGGGTTAGTGTGGCTTTTCTTTTCTTTTCTTTCTTGAAGGATGGAGGAGGTGATGTGGGAATAGGGGAGGTAGGTGGCTTACCTAGCTGCATTAAGGACCGGAATCAAATACGAAGCCAAGGTAGGGGACATGCCATGGCGTTGAGCCTGGGAGGGGATGAACGAGAAGGGGAGGAACATGCCCCAGAAGAAGCAGAAAGTTCCGGCGGTGGTGAGGATGAAGGGGAGTTCGCGGAGGGGACGGATGAAGTCGCGGATATGGTATTGTTTCCTGGTGTGGACGAGACGGGAGGTGGTGGTGAGGTTCGTGATGATGAGGAGGAAGAGGATCAGGAAGCCGCAGATGCGCATGGCCCAGCCGAAGCTGAGGAGGTCGAAGAGGCGAGTGAGCATGATGGGGATGATGACGCCGCCGAGACTGGCGCCACTGGTGGCGATGCCCAGGGCGAGGGCGCGACGACGGCCGAACCAGGTGCTGATGGAGTTGACGCCGGAGTGGAAGAGGGCGCTGTTGCCGATGGGACTGCAGATTCCTTGGGCCAGGAGGATTTGGTAGTATTCGGTGGAGATGGAGGTCATCATTATGCCGAGGACGTGGAGGATGGTGCCGACAAGGATGATGTAGCGGGGACCGTAGTTGTCGAAGAGGATGCCGATGAAGGGGCCCTATTTTGTTGGTTGCTCTGTCAGTTGGGGGGGTGGATTGATGGATGTTGGTGATGGTGATGGCGGTTGGGGGGGGGCAGACGTTAGGGCTGGAGGGAGGAGGAAAAGACGGACCCCGAAGAACATCATGAATGTCATTAGCGATGTGATCCATGTTATGGAGCTAGTGGACATGTCGCTCAGTTGATGAGTCTGGTAGTAGTCGATGAATATCCCCATGCCTGGGAGTTGCATGTTAGTTAGCAAGCTGCGCAATCGTCATTCGATAATGGTCGGTGTGTATCTTCGCGATATCATGACAAAAGTGTCTCTGATATCCAACACTCACAGTTATTCCAGCCAAAACTCACGAACATGCTACAGAATCCACCGAAAACCGTCATCCAGGCTGCGAGTCCGCCATCTGGAGGGCCTTCAGGTGTCGATGCTGGTTGGTGGTCCTGGACAATGACACTGGATTTCTCCGAAGTATGACCTGCAGTTGGATTGTCTCCGGGCTTTTCTCCGGAAGTCGTAGTGCCCGGTGTATCGCTCTGCTGCGCCTCTACATCGTCACTGGTATCCGAAGCAGAAACTGGTAGCTGAAAGGGCTCTTTCACATCATCCTCCACGGGCTCGCTGGCCGGAATGGCCTCATTCGGTGGCTGTTGTTGTTGTTGTTGCGTCATGGTTTCTGCAGCAAAATAGGGCTGGCCTTTGTCACAAGGATGTCTGCTTCCAGCTGCTGCGAATTAGGGAATGTGATATTGGGGGCTTGGGCGTGGGGGGAATCTGGTGGCATCGATCTGGGCCTCGAGACTCTAGATAGCGAAGTTTGACCCGGATTCCCACAAGTGAAAAGAAGAGTCGACCAGCGGTGTGATTCTCATGAACATTCCAAAGGGGAGGTCCTTGCTGTGGACTTAAAAAAGGAACGTTTATGTTTGTGAGACAACGAGGCCCCTTGCGAGATCCCTTCATTCATGGAAATTCCCCCCCCCCCCCCACCACATGTCAACCGGTTTATACGTGGGTGCCTGTTGGCTAAATAGTTTAAGACAATGCAAGGCGGGAAATTGATTCGATTTGATCAAGATCACTAACAGTGCATAGAAAATAGGGAGAAAGGAGAAATAACGTTCACGTGGGGTGTAGTCGGACACAAGCTATTGTCTATAGTACATTGAGCCTGCAATGAAACAAAATAAATGAAAAAGATACCTGGATGTCGGACGCTATGATCTATGCGTGAAGAACAGCAACAGACTGATACTGTTTCAGCTTAGTTTTTCTGTCCTGCCTTCTCAATGATGACCTTGCCCTCCTTCGTCAAAGTGGCAATGCTTTGCTCCGTGCCCTTGAGCTCATTGGTCAATTCGTCCACAGTTCTGTGTGGTCCTGGTCCAGCATTAACAGCTTCCTCAGCAGCCTTCACATACTCCTCTCCTGGTTGGCGCTCACCCTCGGTAGGCTTTGCCGGGCCAATGGTCAAGCCTCGAGGCGCACTGGCGATTTCGTTAACTTCGTGTGAGGTCAGAACCTCGTTGATACGAGGACCGCGGGTCTGTAGAAGGATGGTCGAGGGTCCATCGAATTGGAGGAACAACTATGTAGGGTTAGCAGCAACTTGACAGCCTCGCAGGATGCGACATACCCGATCTCCCCAGATGGTCTTCCGAGACCATGTACGGATCGTGTGCATAATCCTCATTGTCGACTTCCAAGTGCTCGATTCCGACATATCCTGGATGAACTTGGAGTTCTGGATGAAGGCCGGGAGACTCTTAAGACCCGGGACCTGGAATCTTAAGGTCGTAGACTTGAAGCGATAGGGGCGTGGGGGGTTGGACGACATGGTGTAGGCAACGACGTTGCTATGCGACATCAGTAAAAGCTGGTCAATCAGGGAAACAGCCATGCTTACCTCGGGTGAACGATGTATTGCTCTCCAGCCTTGAGCTCAACGGAATAGAGTTGACCGTTACCAACCAACGCCAACAAACCTCGTCCTGTGACCTCAGAGCTACCCCAGTGGGCAAGGCTCTTCGCGGGTTAGTCTAGTCTTTTTACACAAGACCCAATGAGGATCACGAACCAGACTTGTGTTGATAGTTGGGCGGATAGAGAGCGAGCGACCCGTCCAGGCAAGCAATGCCCGTTTCTGGGCCACCATCCAGTCCACGGAGCCATTCAAGTGAACGACAGCAAAGGAAGTATTCGGAGAACGAACGGAAACCAGCGCAGTCACTGGACTTGCCGAAGACACCTAGCAGTCAAGTGTCAATAGCCATACCAATTGTTCAAATCCTAGGAAGACCAGCCTAACCTTCTGGTAGAGGAACGGCACGCCGACGACAGCCCTCCGGAAGGGTTCTAGGACGCTCAATGTAGAAACCACCTGCGTTGATGCCAAAGTCGTTAACCCTAGAGCAGCGTACAGGGTAGAGCATTAACCACAACAACATGCGCATACATTGTCTGCCTTTCCACTCAATCCGACCAAGGTACCCCGACGAGTGTAAAGGTTCTGAGAAGCGGAGAGCGAAACCGATAGTAGAGAGTAGGGCGCGCCGATGACATCGAATCGTGCATCTATTTATGATTGCGACTTGTTAGCGCGGTCTGCTCGGGGTTTAAAGCGGGTTCGGGTCCAGCCTGGAGACTTGCCAGCAGACTCAGCAGAGCTAGGGGTGCTGGAGATAGGTAGATGGTCGCCATTGACGGTAGCAGGCTCCTCCGCAGGCGCCGCGCGAATCTGGACGCATCTGGTCTGCCATCCGCGGCGCAGCAATGCCCCTTGTCGCGCCCGGGAAGGGACGACTCGAGTCCAGGACAGAGTCCTCGCGGCACTCCTCCAAGGTTGAGCCGATGCCATCATGGAGGGTCTCTGCCGAATGAAGTGCAGATGGAGAAGAAGCTGGGGTTGGGAATGCAACTGCTCGTTCTCCGCGGTAATTCTTCTTCTCGCCCGGATTCACGCTTCCAGATCGGGAAAAGCGCTATTGCGGCTTGGCACTGCGAACTTGTCGATATTTGAAGCTGTTTCATCCACTTTTGCCTTGCAGTGAGGGTATTGTGGTCACTATCACTGGATTTAGCTCGACATGAGGATAGCTCAGATGTTGATAACTGTGCTGAATACCTCAATCCGATGGTGGTTTGGGAGATATAAGCTGTGTTGCACTGATGTCATACCTATCTCACGTGTCTACCTTGACTATATGAGAGATCTTTTAAGTATCCCCTCTATTATTTCAGTGGACTATCAATCTGACTGCTACCCGCTAATGTCGAGTATATAAGAGCATATATATCTCTATTTCTGGTAGTAGCAATGAAGCTGGACCTGTGTTGACCATATTTCTAAACAATATCGGCACATTACTTACTACCTTCACGACGTCACTTACTTTTCCTACTAAGGATGACATACTCATACCGGATACCTTCAAGCTATACAGCGATTCCCCAAGAAGGAATTGAAAAAGCAAAGAAAAGACTCAATTCATGTAGACTCATAGAAAATTGTGAGTAAACATCAGAAAGACAGTCTGATAGTGAACCGCCGCATTCGTACCGAGAGTAACGTAATTTACCGGAGACCTGGAGATACTCGGAATCGGCGATTGCGACAGAACTGCCTTTCCTGGTGCTATCACTGCAGCCTCCCTCGCTGAATCACCTGTACCTATTTTACCCTCAATATTTCTTCCGGACACTCAATCAATGATCCGCCATACACGGTGTCGTGAATAAACAGCGCCCTGATCCACCGCGGTCCCCATCCCCAGTACCTTCTCCATCTCACGCCCTCATACTTTATCCCCCGCCGCCGCCGACGTTTTCCTCCGAACCCGGCGGTCCCCATCACGAGGCGGAAATTCGCGCAAGGCCTCACCACCACCGCAATGCTCCATTGGCTATAAAGACGGTCCTTGCATACCTCCGGTCGCTGTGAAGAGCATCTACCGACCACAATGCTGCCCAGGGCGGCCCGCACGCCTTGCTGGCGTGCCTCGGGACGCTTTCTACACCACACTTCAGCCGTTCCGCGCCCAACGTCATGGGCGTCAGCTTCCTACGGCTTTCAGCTCAGATCATTTTCAACCACCAGAAGCCCACTGAGGAGCCAGACCTCTCAGAATATTCCGTCGAAGTCGCAGACGCCGGAACCCAAAGATCCCTCTACTACCCGACCCAGCGCTGCCAATGTCGCGCAGAGTCCGCCGGGTACCCAAAATGCTACAGCGACCCCGAAGAAAGACCTGCTCAGCGAAGCTACCGTGGGGAGAAAGGAGCAGAGGAAGGCGGACTGGGCGATAATGAAGGAAATGGCAAAGTATCTCTGGCCTAAGGTGAGCTGGATTCGCGGCGTTGTGGACGAGCGAGGCATAGGGTGCTAATAGAGAACGGTGCAGGGTGACTGGGGAACGAAGCTTCGTGTCGGCACGGCCCTATCGCTGCTGGTTGGAGGAAAGGTGAGCTATGCTACCTACTGGGTTCCCTGCATCTGTACTCACTATCCAACCAGATATTGAATGTCGAAGTACCCTTTTATTTCAAGAACATCGTTGATTCCATGAACGTGGACTTCTCGACCTTTGGCGGAACCGCTTACACCGTCGCAGGCTCGATGATTATTGCCTGTAAGAGATCCCCGCATGCAGGAAGACTGTACCTAACAATGGTTACCAGACGGTGTTACTAGGATCGGGGCTACACTGTTCCAAGAATTGCGCAATGCTGTATTCGCTAGTGTTGCGCAGAAGGCGATCCGCAAGGTCGCGGGAAATGTATTCAAGCACCTGCTCCAGCTCGATCTTAACTTCCACCTCTCTCGGCAGACCGGTGGTTTGACGCGAGCGATTGACCGTGGAACCAAGGGCATCAGTTTCTTGTTGACGTCCATGGTCTTCCACGTGGTGCCAACTGCCTTGGAGATTTCTCTTGTCTGCGGTATTCTGGTAGGGCCTGCGCTGCACCATCTGTCCAGATATGGCATAACTGACTGTGATAGACCTACCAATATGGTGTCCAGTTTGCGGCGATCACAGCCGCAACCATGGTGACCTACTCTGCGTTCACGATCATGACCACCGCCTGGCGAACCAAGTTCCGCAAGCAGGCGAATGCTGCAGACAACCGTGGTGCCACCGTTGCTGTCGACTCTCTGATCAACTATGAGGCGGTTAAGTATTTCAACAACGAGAAATTCGAAGTTGCACGCTACGACAAGGCCCTGAAGGCCTACGAGGATGCTTCCATCAAGGTCACGACGTCGCTGGCTTTCCTCAACTCCGGCCAGAACATGATCTTCTCGAGTGCCCTCGCAGGCATGATGTATCTCGCCGCCAACGGGGTTGCTAGCGGCAGTCTGACTGTAGGTGACCTGGTCATGGTTAATCAGCTCGTCTTCCAGCTCTCGGTCCCGCTCAACTTCTTGGGCTCGGTGTACCGTGAGCTCCGCCAGTCTTTGCTGGACATGGAGACCCTCTTCAACCTGCAGAAAGTCAACGTGAACATCACCGAGCGACCGGATGCCAAGCCCCTCCAGCTGAAGCAGGGCGGCGAGATTCGATTCGAGAACGTCACCTTTGGCTACCACCCCGACCGACCCATTCTCAAGAACGCTAGCTTTACGATTCCTGCCGGCCAGAAGTTCGCTATCGTTGGACCTAGTGGTTGCGGCAAGTCGACTATCCTGAGACTGCTGTTCCGCTACTACGATGTCCAAGAGGGCCGGATCCTCGTTGACGGTCAGGATGTACGCGATGTGACTCTGGAAAGTCTCCGCAAGGCCATCGGTGTTGTGCCCCAAGATACCCCTCTGTTCAACGATACAATCGCACACAACATCCGCTACGGCCGGATTGAGGCGACCGATGAAGAAGTCCACCAGGCGGCGCAACGTGCACACATCCACGAGCTGATCCAGAAGCTGCCCGATGGTTACAAGACTGCGGTGGGTGAGCGAGGCATGATGATTTCTGGAGGTGAAAAGCAGCGACTGGCCATTTCTCGACTGATCCTGAAGGATCCGGAGCTGCTATTCTTCGATGAAGCGGTAAGACAATTGTTCTTATTCAGCATGGCAGGCGGCTAAGTATACTAATCATGAACGGGCAGACCTCCGCTCTGGACACCTACACAGAACAAGCGCTACTGCAGAACATCAACAGCATCCTAAAGGAGAAGCGACGCACGAGCGTGTTCGTGGCGCACCGACTGCGCACGATCTATGACTGCGACCAGATCCTCGTATTGAAGGAGGGGCAAGTAGCGGAGAAGGGATCGCATCGCGACCTTCTGGAGCAGAATGGCATCTACGCCGAGCTGTGGAACGGTAAGAGACCCGCCGTCGGAAGCCCGGAAGGAGTTGGTGTATTTCAAACACGAAAGCTAACTAAATCCTGCGCCACAGCCCAAGAAATGTCCCTCGCACAGGACGTGGACAGCGAGCCGACAGCTGCGGAGGAAGAGGAGAGTACTACTAAGAAGTAGTGCAGAACGCGAGGCACGACGATAAGCAACAAGCAATCACCCAATGAAAGGGAATTGTATGATTCCCTTCCTTTCCTTCTTTTGTTCTATATTTCTTGGCGCTTTAGACTTTTTTTGCGACTGAACGATACAAATGGGAAACTATCGAAGTAGATATCTACACAATAGCCACTATATGTGTAATTATCTACGTTACTAGTCAGTTGTCCACCAACTTACGTAAACGCTCTCCTCTGTGGCTGTCGTGTACGTGCACCATTCGGTGAAATGTGGGAAAGCCACCTTCCCCCCAATCATCCCACACGCAATCTAAACGACGGACTAGTCTACCGGGTTGCCACGAGGGGAACTGAACCGAAGGAAGGCAAGCGGGCGGTTCCAATAAAAATAACTGGAGCCGTGGAAAAGAAAAGCACGCAAGGCAAGGCACGGCCAGGCCATTTAGACGGAACCACCGGCACATTCGAAACTGGCCTTAGCGTCTTACCCCGTCTCGGTTCTACCCTTTTCGACCCAGCGAGCGAGCCGATCTGGTACGCAGGGTCTTGAGTCAGGGAGAACCAGGGATGAGGAGGAGAGAGTGATAGATTGATATTGTATATTCCAAGTTGAACGAGTGAAGGAACAATAATGTTCAGAATTGGATGGTTGGTGCCCAAGTACGAGCACAATTCGATTCGTGGTTTATCTATCTGCCTGAGGGTGAGTCTAATGATGTTAACCGTGCGTTAGGGGGTAACAGAAGAAAGAAAACAAATCTCCGGGCGGGAGGTGGGGAGGTTTTGAGTTTGAGAAGGGAAGAAGAGAAGAGATGAGAAGTTCTGGATGGATGATGGATGGAAAGACTCGCCAATAGCGGGAGATCTTATACGATAGTGTCGGTTAGATACGTAGATGATTATCTCAAATGAAAAAGAAAAAAGTCAATTGAGCAATCTCTGCTACTGTGACTGTTGAATGTCTCTTCTTGAGAAAGATAGTCAGGGGTATTGAAGAGTCTGGTCTGGTCTGTGTGGTGGTGACGGACGTCTAGTTCGTGGTCTAGTATTTCCTTAGTGTATTTGGATTCCGTACCTGACGGTGGTGGGCATACTTAGTCGAGGCTACTGATTGGCTGGACTCCCCTGGCTAGGCCCAGACAGGAAGGGACGCCCCTCCCCCAAACCACGTTGCGCCTTCCTGACTGGTGGTCGGTGCAGCAAGTCCACATCCGTCCCGGCCATCGTGCCTTCCAGTTCCTCTCTTTCCCACACGTTTTGTTCGGTTCCTTCCTTCCCAATTATTCCCCCAGTTCCAAGTCAGTCAGTCCGTCGTTCTTTCCACATTCGTTGTTTTCCCTTACTAGTATCTATCTAACTATCGTCATCGTCTCCATTATCTCCTCTCTCTTCTGCTGCTGCTTCTTCTATTTCTCCACCACGTCTCTCTTTTGACCTTTTCTTTGTTCCTTCTCTTCTACTACTCTTTCACCTTGCATTCTTCATTGGCACGTAACCCTCGGTGGCTTGTCTTCCCTGCGTGGTCGGCTGCATTCCTTCTCCACAAGCCTCTCTCTTTATCCATCAATTCCTACCAGCCATCCCACCAAGGGTACCACTAAATCACTATCGGCGCCTTATTTATCATTGACTTCTTGACTATTGCTTAGCTCCGGAGCACTATCTGTCTTGGTGTGAACACTTTCTTTTCCCACCATCTGCTGCAACGTCCACTAGCCCGTCGTCGTCCCTCTTCGCAAATCGGGTCTTTCTTCCCTCCTTTTTCCTTTTTATCTACGCCAACCTGCCCCTCTCGCGTCCGTCGTGTTACCTCTCCCACCCTTCCGGACCGTTATCTCAGCAATTGGCATCGCTTCACCTTCGCACTCTCCCTATCAACAATTCTTGGAGATTATCATCCTTGAACCCCGCATATACACTCCCAGAAACTCACTGGGGTGATTATTCGATCCGCTTTGGATTTGGTGCACAAGAGAAATAAAGTCATATATTGCAAGGCGCTACGCTACATACATACACAATGGGTTTCATCGAGAAGTTGCAAGCAAGTATGTTGTCTCCATCTCCCAGGAGTTCACCCATTACTACCACACCTTTTTTTTCGAAGCATCACGGTCATTGTGTCATCGTTCAATTCCTGTACTGACCATCCATTTCTTACAGAGATCGAGCTCTACCGGCTAGAGCAGCGCTATGCTCGTCGCAAACACCGCAGCACCTTTTCAGGGGTTCCCTACGTCGACGGGGAATACGTCTACGTCGGTGGATCCAACTCCTCGTCAGGGACCGTCTCCAAGCACTCGACAGGCAGCTACTGGAAAGCCTCTACGTGGGGATCGTCTGGCGACTCGCGCTGGCGGTGATGCACCTTTTTCGTCATTCTTCAAGCGCTGTCTTTTCGTTTTGCTCGACTACTAATCCTCCTCATAATGTCCATGTCGAGGATGCGACGACCTATCCTTGTTTTTCATTCATGGGTGAAGAAAGTGAACGCAAAAAGTTCATGTTATCTTTCTCTACTTCCGTCCTTCGGTACTCCGTTTTGGCCGTTGGCTTCAGCCGCGACATTTGAAAGCTAGCGTTGCATATTTGATCAGCCATTTGGTTTGGTTTGCTCTCATCTGCGCAATTGCTTGTCATATTGACTACCGCCTGCCGTACCATCAACACGCGTCTCAAGCCATTGATCCAAGGGACGTTGAATACTTTTTTGTTTCCCCGAATCTATCTCGGAGTTATCTGGCATCATCTTATTGACGCGATTTATGCCTGTTTGCTTTTTGGCTGCAAGCACTCTTTTTTGCTACAATTGTTCTGGATCCCTTTCCGCTCTGTTCTAGAGTTGGCGGGATAGAGCTTTGTGCTGCCATTTTGTGCACTTCACATACCCCTCAAGCCCATTAGCGAGTCGTTCTGTGACTTGACTTGTTGGTGTATCCTTTCTTCACACCCTTTTTCGCCAATTTGAGGCTGTTACGCCTCACTGTACATAGGCTTTTACATTCCAATCAAGAGATATGACGATCACCAGTGTGGCCCCCACCCAGGTAGATGCTTAAATTCTGAGATGCTTGGATATAATAGGACAATCGTCGGACCAACACGCAGATCTACAGCCTTGCGTCGGCCCCTTTGCTCTTCTACCTTGGCGTAAATCCTTAGAGCGACTTTCTTACTCAGTCTATAGAAGTAGCAAGAGACACTACTAACACCACGACCTATGTAATATACCTTACTATCATCATTTTTATCACATGTAATGATAGTATCATCACACCTCAACAAGCAACTAGATAGCTAACCCCATTCTCATTCCTAGCAATGTATGCATGATACGCTATAACGCGATAACACAACACACCACTTCCCCCTACTCCTATACTATACTATAACCTTAACTATAACCAAACCCACAATCACCTCTTCGACTTCCTGCCCCCAATCCCCAACCTCCCCAGATTCGACAAACTAGATTTATGTCTATGCGCACCGCCCAGAATGCCTCCCGGCGAGGATTTACCCGCACCCCCTTCGTTCGTTCCCCGACCACCACTACCACCTTCATTCCCCGCACCTCCGGTATTCCCTCCTCCGGCTAATCCCCGCGGAGTATCAGGTAAAGCCGAGACCCGATCTCTGGTGCTGCCGCCGCCGCGGACCTGATCGCTTGCGTTGTTGTTATTGTTGTTATTGTTGCTGGAGGATGAGGGACCGTCTGCGTCGAAGGGACGCTGCGAGGCGCGTTGAGACCGGCGGGCTTTCTCTTGCACGGTCTTGAATTTGTCGAGGAGCTCGACCCATCGGATTGGGGGGTCGTCGCGTTTTAGTCGGCTGTTGGTGGAGCGGTCGTAGGTGGAGGTAGAGGAGGTGGTGGATGAGGAGGAGAGTGTGGTTCTTTGGGGTTGGGGTGTTAGTTGGTGGTTGGTGCAGATGGGGAAATGGACTTACTGTCGGGGGCCGGTGTGGATGAGGCCGATGCTGCTGACGCTGTTGAGACGGTTTTTGAGCGCCGCGAAGGCGGAGCTCTGGGGGAGGAGCATGAGGACGCCGTAGAGGCATTTGTAGAGGTAGGGGTATCGTTCTGGTTCGAGGAGCTGGAGGCGGAGGTCTGGGGGGTGGGGATTAGTTGGCGTGAGGTGATTTAGGGTGTGACGTGGGAACTTACAGGTAAAGACGGGTGATTCGAGGAGTTGAACTAGCTTGTCTATTTGGATTAACATGTTCACTGTCATTTCGAGCTCGGCACTGTGATGGGAGGTTAGTGGCGCGGTGCTGGGCTAGCGGGGGAGGGAGGGGGTGCCTTACAAGACTTGGAGGAGGTTGTATGCTTGCTCGTAGGCTTGTGCGAGTAGACAGAGGGAGAATGTAGAGACGGCATTGTGGCACCATGACCGGAACAGCGCTACAAAGAACATCTGTCCATCCTGTGAGATTGTAAGCTTTCGTAAATACCTGGCAAGTGAAGAAGTCCTTACCTTGGCGTCAAGATTCCTTAAGCGCTTTCTCAGTTCCGAGAGTTCAGGGGCGGTTATCAGGTTGTTGTTCAAATTTTGAACCATGATACTGGCGAACTCGATATCCTTTCACGGTGTGAGTTGCTACATTCGATAAACGGGATAATTGTGAGTCTCACCTCTTCCTTCTCGAGACAATCTGCCAGCGTTCGATATATGCGCTCTGGACTAAGATTCATGCACAGTTGTCGGATAATCAGATTCCCCCGTACCTCGAGCAGGTGTCTGTCCGTGGAGAACAGTTGCAGGAGATTCACCATGAAAGACTTGAAGTAACTGTCTTCGCTGTTTCTGGAAATCTGTGATAGAAGCTGGAGATCTTTGGTGACGACGGCTTCGGCCGGATCGGACAGTGTCTTCAAAAGAGCAGGAAATGTGCCATCATTAAATGCAATGACCTTCTTGGGCGCCTTCCGGTGCAACATGATAAGCCAGGAAAGCGCGGCTACTCTGGTGGCCTCGTTTTCGTTCAGGAACTGTAGGGTAAGGGAGTTCACGGCCGCAGCATAATCGAGGTCGGCGGGTGGTAATGGTGTTGACATGCTGCTTCGAGGGGTTTGTTCGACTGATGCCTCTGGCTGAGACAATTGCTTCTTGGATTCACTCGATGGCGTCTCGGGAGGCTTGCTAACCGGCGTAGACGACCTTCGCTCCGTATTTTCTTTGCTGGTACTTTTCAATGCCGCTTGTCGACTTTCATCTACTGTATCTTCGGACAGCGTGACGATATACTCCATTAAAGACGTGTTGACCCGGTTGGCGGCCTGCCGCACTTGATCCGAACCACTGGACATTGCTGGGAGCACTTGAGTGAGGAGACGAGGAACGAAAGGGAGAATGTCTTCTGGGCTGATTTCGAAGAAGTTGTCGATCCAGCGCAGCGCAGTCAACTGCATTTCCTCCACTAGTGACTGGTGATAAGTATCGAACCATTGCAACTGAGCATCATGCCTTGCTTACCGAAAGATGTATCAACGAAACCGACGAGAATATCTAATATCTTGGCATAGTCAATCTGGACATCTTGTCCGGGAATCCAGTCCCCATCCACGTGCAAGCCTTCCTCATCGGTGACTGATCCTGCCTCAGAGTCCTCTATGGCGTTGTCTGTCACTTCAGACTCAACAGCTACAGTTTGATCGGTAGTCGTCGCAACGCTCATACTATCGCTGGTAGTTGACTGCCTGATATCGCTGCCTTGACCTTTCCGGCTTTCTTCGATACCCTTCTTAAGTCGCGCGATCCTCTTAATCTCCGACAGGAACCTATCCAAAAGCGCTTGGGTAGCGACGTTGACATCTCTGTTCGGATCACCCAGGAACTTAATCAAACCTCCTAGGAATTCCGGCAAATACGATATCAACTCCAGATCAGGGATTGTATCCAGCAGAGTCAACCATGATACCAGGAATGTGCGGGTAAACGCGCTGATGACGTGTATTCGCTCTTTGAGCAAAGGTATGAATTTAGGTAGCGAAAAAGCGGTAGGAAGTTCAGCATCGTCCAAGCCTTCAGGATCTGTTGCTTCCTTTTCGCTAAGCTGTAAGACGGAGATATGGGAGGCCGCGGATTCCGATACGATGTCTTTGACGAGTCTATCGAGGAGTTCTGCGCCGTTTTTGACCGAAAGCTCCGAATCGGAAGCTAGCTGGCGGGGTGTGAGCTGTAAGGCCAGAACAGTAGGAACATGGGATAAAAACCCCTTACCTTGCTCAATGCATCGAATATTTCATTGAAGAAGAGTAGCACCTCGCCTTTCGCAACTTTGGCAATGTTGTACATGCTCTCGCAGGCATAATACCTGACTCGGGCATCTTGATCGGAAAAGCAAGCAAGCACCGGCGGTACGATTTCCTTCAGATAAGGAGCAACCCCTTCCTAGCAACCTTGAACTCAGCCCCTGCAAGATCCATTCAGTATATTCTGGTGCAACTCACGGATCCTAATGCTATGGAAGCCGCAGCAAGTCCGATTAAACCGCCGTTTCTCGCGTGAGGTTGGTGTACCGCATAGGCGTAGTCATGGCAGAGTTGGTCGACAATCTTTTGGATCTCCTCGTGTTCACCCCTGAAAGCAGCATCGCGGACGACCTTCTCGAGTCTGTTTAATAAACCCATGTGTATTAGCCACCCGCCATATTATTGTCTGACATATGTCGCCTTATCGATAATGCGTACTCCAGGGCCCCCTGTTTCCTCCGGTCGTAGAGCTTATCATTCAGCGAGCGCTGAATTGAGTGATCCATCTCTCAAACAAACATGGATATGGACGACTGAGTCACAAGCACCGGGATTGTTGATTTAGATAAGTGGCTTTCATGGCGTGAAAGCGATGTCTGACTAGGCTGGGCGGTGAGGCGACGACGGTCTCGACTCTCTCGTGTTCGCAAAGACCTGTAGCTATTCCCGAGCCATCGGCTATTAATGGTAAGTGTTTCAGGGTAAACAAAACAGATGCAGGCTCTTTCTGATCAGAAAGCACCCGTCAGATGCTCTAGTCTCGTCGCTAGGCGGTTGCTGGGCTGTCAAGGTGGGGAGGACTCACAACAAGATGCGTTGGCAAACGTGGATGGCTGTCTTAGCGGACGCGAAGTGACGTAGTGTCAGCAGCGAATCGACGCTTTGTCGGCTTTCCCGCCCGACCGTTTTGCATTGTTCATCCCTAGTGTAACTATATGCCATGCCCCCTTACACCGCAGATCATTCTGTCAATATACAAAGGAAGAATTCTCCCTTCATGCAATGCACTACGATAGACTTATAGTAAGTGATATTTTTGGAATAAAAAAAGCCATGGTTATCGACATTGTGAGGTCTAGAACGCCACTGTATCATGTCTTCTAGTCCATGTTTATACAAACGCTCAGCAAAAAACATACACCTATTCTCGTTGAGCCAAATGTGTCGTGAAAGAATAACGCTTCCCAAAGGAAAGCAGATTGCACAAAAAAGTCAAGGACGCTCCAAAGAAATACAGGTCATGACAATATTCAACAGGTAAGCTACCATCAATGGCTAATATACTGAAAAACGGCAGAGACATCACGCTCTCCAGTCTCTTGACGTATCAGCAAGTCTTGGATCTTGCTGAGAGCCCCATGCTCTCCGTCATTGACAAAATGATTCCAAGTACTAGTGTCACCGTACAACATGGCTGGCGCCTTGATGTATTGTGTTCCCTCCGGTCGGCATCGCTTGCATTTGAACGTGTCATGTGTATCGCTCCGCGTTTCCGGTTTGAATTGAAAGAGCTCTCGGAGGGATTCCAGCGAGAAGTGTCGTTCGACATCCTCGGCCGAATCCACGACGCACGAAGAAAGTGACTGTTTATGAGACTGACGCTGGAAGATCTTCTCCTCAATCGATCCAGTCGCGATGAAACGGTAGACAAAGCAGTCTTTCTTCTGCCCGTCACGCCACACTCGTGCCAAAGCTTGCTGATCGGCAGCTGGATTCCAATCGGGATCAAAAAGAACAAGGCGGTTTGCACCTATTAGGTTCAGGCCGCAGCCACCAGCCTTACTGCTCAACAGGAAGACAAACTCTTCCCCGTCGGGGTTATTGAACTTGTCGACCAGCTTCTGTCGTTTCCCAACCGTCATGGTTCCGTCTAGTCGCAAGGAGCCGTACCCCCGGGTTCTGCATAACTTCTCAAACAGGTCGAGGGTCTGGGTGTAGTTGCTAATCAAAACAATCTTGTCATTAGTATCCTGGCGAATGCGCGCTAGCATTCGATCCAAAACCATCATCTTTCCTGAATACCAAGATTTGATATCTCTATCACGCCCTCGTGCTTCCGGCGGGACATAGTCCTCCGGGAAGGTGTACTCGCAACCCGGAAGGTCATTAGAGAGATTAAGGAGGTCCGGGTGATTGCAAAGTTTCTTTAGAAGGCCGATTGCCTTTAAGGGTTGACTTCCCTTTCCGCGGAGTAAGCTTTTGATTTCGGGACTTTGAATGAAATGCTTATAGAGGCCCAGTTGGAATTCGGACATGTTGCAGAAAACAACATGTTCGTACTTGACGGGCAAGTACTTTGACAAAATGTCGTTCGTGCGCCGTATGATAAACTTGTTTACGATGCTGGAGAGTTCGGCAAGGCGCTCATCACCCTTCTTGAGGTCTTCTTCGGTTCCTGCGGCATCTCTTCCTCTAAGAATAGGCAATTCGAACCTTTTCCGGAACTCATTCTGCGACCCCAGTAGATTAGGATTCGCAAAATGGAGAAGAGCAAAGTATTCCGAGAGATCGTTCTGAATGGGAGTGCCTGACAAAATCACCCGACGCTGTACATTCAGGCCGTTGAGCGCTGTCCATGTCAAACTCTCCTTGTTCTTCAATCGATGTCCTTCGTCACAAAGAAGTAGGCCGATGGGACTGTCCCTCAGTGTATCGACGTATAGCCGGAGTGTTTCATATGAAATAATGAGTACTGGTCTGACAATAGACCGACCCGAAGCGATGGCCCATTGTTTCATCTGACTGATGAGCTCCGTCTTCGAGGCTTTACCGTCGACCGCAAATGGTGTGATGGCATCCTTGCCCAACCATTTCACTGCAACTGTTAGCAGGAGTGTGATCCAGTAGCGAAGCCAACTCACCAAGTTCATTGGCCCAGTTTCCGACCAAACTTGACGGGCAAGCGATAATGCACTTCTGTATGGTTGTCACTCCCGCTTCTGGGGATTGCTTGAGTAAAGTCCACATCAATGATATACATTGAAGCTACCAGCACCATTAGTCTTCTGTTCCGTGCTGTACGCCGCCCAACTTACCGTTTTGCCCAGACCCATCCCATCTGCCATGATGCAACCATTCGCATTCTTGTCAACCATGCCAGTTGTACAACGATAAAGAAACTTTTGTCGGCGCATTAGTACATAGCAACAGAGCCTGTGTGGAGCGAATGCTAACCTTGACACCCTCAACCTGGTGAGGCCGTAGCACTTTCGCCAGCCGTGGATCTATAACGACCGGGACCTTCGGTCGCCCTTCAGTCTTCTTCTTGAGCCCAAGAATATCTGCCAAGCTCTTGTGTACCAATGGCTCATCCAATTTTGGCTTCTGCTCCTCGGCATCGACCGTGTCCTCTTCCTTCGATTCTGGCTCATTGACATCATCGACTGTAGGATCATATAGCACTATAGCAAACTCCCCGCTCGGATCATGCAATGGCTTCACAACAAATGTAGCGCCTTGCCTCATACCAAGCGTAGGCGCTGGCCTAGAGCTATTATAGGCATCAGGCGACTTATTGATCAAAGGAATCTTAAATCTTTGCTTGAAAGTCATCTCTTTGTCCTTGACTTTGAAGCTAGGGAACCTATTCGCATCTCTTGTTGCCAGTGCTAAGCGGTCCTCGTTTGTATAAGGCTTGACGCTGTCGTCGTCCACCGTGCCATCAGCCCCTGCATAGTTCACCTTCCTACGCTTCCTCGCTGGCTTGTCTGACGCTCGTGTAGCCATGGCTAGGCCTGGACATTTAAAGGGTTTCGATAGACGGTCGACGCTGTTCGTGGAGCTGGCCTGCAGCGGCTTGGACGGTGTGCCTGCACCATCTTGGTTTAGGACTGGCCGTGGCCGGTACCTGAATGCGTAAGCTTGTGCTCCGCGATAAACTGGAGGAAGTGATTATCAATCTCACATTAGTACTTCTCTATCAAATACTCGTGGCTGACTCGGATCGTGTCAGTTGGCGGTTTTGGTTGTCAATAATGACCGGCCGAACTCGACGCGTGTTTGCCACTGCCTAGCGCGTCGCCCGCATCTTGTTGGCAACACCAAAGTATCACGCTGTCACGTGATTGTTTATAAGTAGTATGGAGTAGCCGGCTCATAGAGGTATCTCGCTAGGCAAATCCACTTTGAGCCAAGTCCTTTGATGAAAAATATTATCTAGTACTTGAGTAGTTCTTAGATTACACTATATCCGGATTTCGGCTTATTCAACAGCATGTGTACGTGCCATGGCCTTGAACACAACGTCCGGTTAGCGAAGCGCCACTTGAATGAGGCATCCAAGGAAATGGAGCCTTCAATCATTCTCTACAGAAAACTAGCTCAACTAAAAACAATTGATATGTAGAGGGCATACTAGTGCTATTGCGAGGGATGCTCAGCCACTTCTGGAGTTTTGTCCAGATAGCGTTTACAAAAGATGATGCTGCATGATCTGCATAATATATATAGTCTTGGCATGAACCTCTGCAGCCCTACTGCATGACAGAAACATTTCTTTTTCCGCACTAGTAGCACTCATCTCAAGACAGTACCGGTTTCTGTCTAAAGCACATGAAAATGCAGTTTGCTCAGCATCAAATAAGCACAATGCCAATGAACTTGCAAGCAAGAGTAGGAGGCCGGATGGAAAGTTTCTACTATAGCCCTTTCAGTATAGCGTCCGGTTCGCCTTCTTGAGGTGGGACCGTTTAGTCAATGGAACCTCAGCCCGTCGAATGATAATAACCAGGTTGTTCCTACCATAGTCACAATGCTCATTATCACCATTTGCTGCTGAATCGTTCATTCAGCACTGGCCCCTCGGCCCATGTCTTCCGATTTCTGGGCTGGCTACCTTAGCGGTGCCATTGGAATCATCATCGGCAATCCCCTCGATGTCATCAAAGTGCGGTTGCAGGCAGGACGCACTCCAGATATCGCCGCATCAACCACACCCCAGCAATTGAGTCGCTTTGATAGCGCTACTTCCCTGGTTCGAGGTTTGCAAATATTCCGATGATGTAAATTACGCGTCTAGTATTAACCGTTTCATCAGGCGCCGCTGCCCCAATCCTCGGATATGGGGCCCTCAATGCACTACTCTTTGTGGCTTATAACCGATCATTGAAGTTCCTGGATAGTTCAATCATTGACCCTACAAACCCACAAGGTGTCTCCTTAAGCAAGATCTGGCTTGCCGGTGCTGCAGGTGGGGTGGCCAGCTGGACTGTGTCATCTCCGACGGAGTTCATCAAATGTAGGGCCCAGCTTGACTCACGCCCCGGGGTGTCGTCATGGACGGTTGCGAAAGACATTGTCCGAACACGCGGCTGGACGGGCCTTTATTTCGGAGGAGGGGTCACTTGTGCGAGAGACGCAATTGGCTATGGGTTTTAGTATGTGAATCCTTTCCCCAGATCTTCCCCCGCGATTTCATTGAGGCTCTTCACAGAGTATTGACCTACATCCTTCCTTGCAGCTTTTGGTCTTATGAATACTGCAAGCGGCTTACGGCCTCTAATGAAGATGATGCGACCATGACTGCTACGAAAGTCTTATTATGCGGTGGCATTGCTGGGATTGTTACCTGGGCCTCTGTCTTCCCTCTAGATGTGATCAAGACAAGACTGCAGGCGAGAACGATTGAATTGTCCCCTGAACATCGCCCCTTGATGCAGCCTTCTGCTAAGCCATACACCGCAAGCTCCATCCAGATTGCCAAAGAAGCGTATCTCAATGAAGGACTCAAAGCCTTCTATCGCGGCCTAGGGGTTTGTAGTGTGAGAGCCTTCATAGTCAATGCTGTTCAGGTATGTCAACCCGGGTTTGAAATAGTGTAACGCATTGCTAACGATCCATTCCAAGTGGGCAACATACGAGTGGCTGATGAAGTATTTACAAAATCCATAAACGAACAATGCAACAATGCCCAAGCATCTACAAACTACGTACGGAGTTCTCCGCAAGGATACGCGCATCTCAATATTGAAGTGCTGTGTATTATTGCAGCTCGTAAATTAAATTTGTCCTAAAGGAGCCGTGTCTGATAAAGTGGGGCCAAGCTAGATGGGGGCTCCGAGAAACGGCAGTTTTAATGGTTTTACCGCAGAACGAAACCGGCGTATCCGGGAACTTTCCACCCCCACTGGCGGTTTTCGGCGCATGTGGTTTCACGTGTTATCCAGCGATTTTGGCCCATCGCTGATTGGGTGATTCTTTCGTCGACATGCAGCCAGTAATATCGTCCGTGAAACAACGACGTCAAAACGGCGTAGATGCGCGAAAAAATTTTTCAAGCCCATTGAGAGTAGATATGTTGCCAGCAGAGCTCTTGCCGATGCTCTTGGAGCTATCCTGCATCGCGGTGACAGTCGAGAGAGCACTGCGATAGGCAATTTCACTTCATGGCGAGAATCTAATCCTCCATAATGACCATCTCGGTGGTCTCTTGCGACCTCACACCATTGTCTGTACCCAAGCCGACGGCAGCCTCAGCAGCCTTCTGTGTGTGTGCCTCTTCGCGCAAGATACGGAGTCTAATAACAGGCGCATAGGTCAGCATTTATGTGTCCAAAAAGTATTTGCGACCGAAGCCGCGACATCGTAGATATGTTGGCCACACACCTTCTCTTGTGGTTCTTGCCCTTCGTATGGGCGGCCATATTATGCTCGCTCTCAAACCATTTGGAGCACTCGACGCAATAATGCTTTCCTAGGCCGGGAAGGTCCTCTTCGTCTTTCGTAGCTTTGTATAGTTCGAGGTGTCTCGCGGACGCGATATCAGCTCGGACCTGATCATAATCTCTATCGATTTTATCAGATCATCAGCAGTCTATTCAGCTTTACGCAGCCCTTCGAACTTGAACCCTCATGATAGTGATCATTCAGAAATTAGCCTACATACCTGGTCCTGCGCTTCGTCTTAATTTTCCTGACAGCTCCCATTTTGATAGACTGCGGCCCAAAAAAGAATTGCCTGATGGATTTGCTAGTGAGCTGTCGCAAAGTGTTTTTCCACCGATATACGGAATGAAACTAAGACTTTAGGCGGTGCAAGAGCGGGTCGCTTATCACCAAAATTCCGCCTTTGTGTGCGAAAGAAGAATTTCCTGAAACATGTTGCTCATTATTGGTCAAAATCAGCTGGGTCTTGGCGGCGGGCCGCGGGATTCCCATCGGTAGGCCTCGGCTCTGACTCGGCTCTGTCAGCGCTTTTGGTCGCTTCCGTACGGCCATTTCCCCGGTGTCTCGTAATTTATGACGTTGCCATGTTCCGGCACGTTGCTCCGGAAAGCATCTCGTCCAGTTGCGATCCAGGTGAAATAATACGCTAACTGCCACCATGTCTCCTAAGCAACCCAACTCATTCAAGCGGTCTGGCATTACTGACGAGGTTGGGCGCGTAGAATCTGTCATATTATTTCATTTTCATTTAATGTATCGGTTCCAAATAATTTTTTTGATCTGTGTTTGCAAGACTTGATGAAGCTTTGAGCTAGGATGTAGTAGTAGTGAGTGACGTCGATGATGTTCCCCCAGGATGAATGGATGTAATACAGGGCACATGATTGGACTATGTGCCTCACATGCCCTGTGCACGCCGCCGCACAGGCTGGTCGGAATTACAAGGTATGAACACAGCAGTAGTGAAGTTAGGTTTTACCTAGGTAAGACACTAGTTCGTGGCAGTCCATGGGGGAGAATGCATGGGGGAGATAATAATACCCAGTAGATCAAACTATGCTTTTTGAGGGTCAGCTGAAAGGAGCAAAACCACTGACAGTGAGGCCTTTTCGAATCCAAAGGCAACCTTACGTTGACCGGGTAAAGCCATTATGGGTCCTTCTTAGTTTTTTTCATTTACGGAGTGGTCAGAAAGGAGGGAGCGAGGTCTGCAGGCCAAACGGAAATTACAGGTGTATCCGTATCCATACGGTAAGAAAGGGGTCCCACGGATGGTCCAGCCACCTTCCTTCTCTCCGGTCGCATGCAACGCTTGCGTAAAGGTCGGTACTGTCAGGAGCGGTTACGGGTCCTCTTCTCCGGTTCAGTAAATCGCTCTCGGTGGTGGAAACAAGAATTCTTTCCCACTCAAGCTTCCTTTTTATCTACTCCATTTTCCCTTTCTTCCTTTATCCCTTTCCTTTCCTCTTCTTTTCCCACTCCACTCCATCTTTTGCTGCTTCCTCCCGTTGAAGCTAGCTTTTGCTGTTGTTTGGATTGGCTCTCCTGTGTTGCGGCCCTGCCCACCTCGCATAGAGAGCTTCCACCATGATTACCACAAGGCTTGCGCGCATGGGTGCGCTGGTAAGTCCATTCCAGACACGTTGTCCCCCGTCTGGCGAAGAAGTCATGGCATTCTGTCCAGGAATGAAATGCATCTAGCTGGACGTCTTTGTAGCTCAATGGAAACTAACCAGATCTGCTCTCTAGGCCCCTAAGTCCCGCCTTGTAAGCGTTTACCCGCAATCCAGTTCAAGCTCGCATCACCAAATTACAGCGGAAGTGCGATTGTTCGATGAACAGAAATACTAATAAAATGTGCAGATGCTCGGGGCTCGGGGTATGGCCACCGTCACCGACTCTCCCCTCGACAAGAAGGTCGAGATGTGCAACCTGGAGAAGGTGAGTGAAACTTTCCATTACGTCTCGGCTGGCTTCGGGTAGCGCGGGCGCCAGATTTGGGAATACGATCCGCTAACAATGCTTGTGCAGGGTAACTACATCAACTACAAGTATGATAGCACTCTTGATTCTTTGGGGCATTGGGGGCGATCTCTCAATCGCGCCTTCCCAGGTCAATGAGCTGTAAGCTAACATTCCTACCACTTCTATAGGAAGATGTCCGAGAACCTCGACATCGTTCGTCGTCGTCTGAGCCGTCCTCTCACCTACGCCGAGAAGGTTCTGTACTCTCACCTTGACGACCCCCACGGACAGGAGATCGAGCGTGGCAGCTCTTACCTCAAGCTGCGCCCCGACCGTGTCGCTTGCCAGGATGCCACTGCCCAGATGGCTATCCTCCAGTTCATGTCCGCTGGCATGCCCTCCGTCGCTACTCCCACTACCGTCCACTGTGACCACTTGATTGAGGCCCAGGTCGGTGGCGACAAGGATCTTGCTCGTGCCAACGACATCAACAAGGAAGTCTACGACTTCCTTGCCTCTGCTACTGCTAAGTACAACATCGGTTTCTGGAAGCCCGGTTCCGGTATCATCCACCAGATCGTTCTGGAGAACTACGCTTTCCCCGGTGGTCTGATGATCGGTACCGACTCTCACACCCCCAACGCTGGTGGTCTCGCCACTGCTGCCATCGGTGTTGGTGGTGCTGATGCCGTCGATGTCATGGCCGGTCTCCCTTGGGAGCTGAAGGCCCCCAAGGTCATCGGTGTTAAGCTTACCGGCCAGATGTCTGGCTGGACTACTCCTAAGGGTAAGTTGATATTTGACCTGTTCTACACAATCGGACGAGCGTTGACAGTAAATTTTAGATATCATCCTCAAGGTTGCTGGTCTCCTCACCGTCAAGGGTGGTACTGGCGCTATCATCGAGTACCACGGACCTGGTGTCAACTCCCTGTCCTGCACTGGTATGGCCACCATCTGTAACATGGGTGCTGAGATTGGTGCCACCACCTCCATGTTCCCCTTCAACGACCGCATGTACGACTACCTGAAGGCCACCAAGCGTCAGCACATTGGTAACTTCTCCCGCGAGTACGCCAAGGAGCTCCGCGAGGATGAGGGTGCCGAGTACGACCAGCTGATTGAGATCAACCTGTCTGAGCTCGAGCCCCACGTTAACGGTCCCTTCACTCCTGACTTGGCCACCCCCATCTCCAAGTTCAAGGAGGCCGTTGATGCCAACAAGTGGCCCGAGGAGCTGAAGGTCGGTCTTATCGGCTCTTGCACCAACTCCTCCTACGAGGACATGTCCCGTGCCGCCTCCATCGCTCAGGACGCCCTTGACCACGGTCTCAAGTCCAAGTCCCTCTTCACCGTCACCCCCGGTTCCGAGCAGATCCGCGCTACCATTGAGCGCGATGGTCAGCTCAAGACCCTCGAGGAGTATGGTGGTGTCATCCTTGCCAACGCCTGCGGTCCTTGCATTGGACAGTGGGATCGTAAGGACGTCAAGAAGGGTGAGCCCAACTCTATCATCTCCTCCTACAACCGTAACTTCACCGGTCGTAACGATGCCAACCCCGCCACCCACGCTTTCGTCGCCTCTCCCGACCTTGTCGTCGCCATGACCGTTGCCGGTACCCTTAAGTTCAACCCTCTCACCGACAAGCTGAAGGACAAGGACGGCAAGGAGTTCATGCTCAAGCCTCCCACCGGTGAGGGTCTCCCTGCTCAGGGCTACGACCCCGGCCGTGACACCTACCAGGCTCCTCCCACCAACCGCGACGGCGTCAACGTCGCTGTCTCTCCTTCCAGTGACCGTCTCCAGATCCTTGCTGGTTTCGAGAAGTGGGATGGCAAGGATGCCACTGACATCCCTATCCTGATCAAGTGCCAGGGCAAGACTACCACCGATCACATCTCCATGGCTGGCCCGTGGTTGAAGTACCGTGGTCACCTTGACAACATCTCCAACAACATGCTGATCGGTGCCATCAACGCCGAGAACGGTGAGGCCAACAAGGTCAAGAACGCCTTCACCGGCGAGTACGATGCTGTCCCCGCCACTGCCCGTGACTACAAGGCCCGTGGCATCAAGTGGGTTGTCATCGGTGACTGGAACTACGGTGAGGGTTCTTCCCGTGAGCACGCCGCTCTGGAGCCCCGCCACCTTGGTGGTCTTGCCATCATCACCCGCTCCTTCGCTCGTATCGTAAGTGCTATCCATTCTTTTCTATCAAAAAAAACTGAACGCGAACTAACATCTTCCTTTAGCACGAGACCAACCTGAAGAAGCAGGGTATGCTTCCTCTTACCTTCTCCGACCCCGCCGACTATGACAAGATCAAGCCCGAGGACAAGGTCGACCTCCTCTGCACCGAGCTCGAGGTTGGCAAGCCCGTCACCCTGCGTGTCCACCCCAAGGACGGTGCCTCCTTCGACGTCAAGCTCAGCCACACCTTCAACGAGTCCCAGATTGAGTGGTTCCGCGATGGTTCCGCCCTCAACACCATGGCCCGCAAGGCTGGTAACTAAATTTAATGGCGATTGCCAACATGCATGACATGGGCCTCATAGGCCCGTCTGTATATTATGATCGCTGTTTTCTGTTTGTTGCGAAAAGATATGATACCTGAAAGATCTGCTTGCGGGGTTTGGTTATCCTACCCTCGCGCCATGGCAGTCTGCTCTGATGCCAAACAACTGCATTGGACGCGAAAGCGGCTGCCTATGGTACCTCTATGATGGGAATATCCGGCGTCGTCTTTCGAAAAATTTAACGATTTGTTTCTGTTGCCGCTCTGGGCCTGTTTTCTTTTGTACCCCTGTGATTTTCCGGTGGACTACATGGATATATCTTTGTTTTTGTTTTATATCATACACTGTATGTTAGGGCTTGCGTGCATACCACATTTCCTTCTGTTCCAAGATGGATCTTGCCCGTAGGCGTCGTAATCAGTTTGCTGTAGCACTCCCGGTGAGCAGAACGGTCACTACACCTCCAATGGCGTATTCGGACATCCATATGTTACAATTTGCCCGATTTTGCGACTTGCTGCCAATAGGTCAGACTTCATTGGTGCTGACATAACTAAGTTCCCTTCTCAACCGAGGCCTACACGGCTGTTCACCCCGCCTCGGAAACGTGACTCTGATAGTATAGCCGATCCATCATGATAAGGAGTCTTCAGATGTATTAGACTCACAGTATCTGCTCGTCTTTACTTACAATCTCTCAGCTGCATCCAAGATTCAAAGAACATCATTGTCGGCCTCTTTCTTCTCTGGATTACCCACGTGACTGAGTACAGCTGACCCACTAGCTCAATTGCTCGTGAGTCTGATGATTCATTCCTATTCTTACTCTGATTGTCCTGCTGAATACTGAAACCTATGTAGAGGCTACGATATAGATCGACGATATTACATACCTCAAGTTATTGCTCGGTTGCCTCTTTGATAGGGAAAGATACTTGTGTAAGTGTGCTGCTTATATCTTGCGCATTTTCAAGAGTCAATGCTTGCTCTTGGACCCAACCAAAGAATCCGAGGTAGCGCAGACCGCTAATGCGAGTTGGTGTCTGGCAGTCGCAGATCAATCGCACTGAAGTGTGGTATATGCTGGAGACATGGCTACCCAGCTAGTCTCTCTGGCGGAGGTGGAGAGGCTCAGCGCCTCGGTCGTACGGATATTGGGGGGCAATCCCGGCAAGGTGAGCTAATATTGAGATAAGACACCGGTCTTGATGGACATAGAAACTAATATACCTTTCTACTAGTTCACTCTGCAAGGTTTGTTTCCTCGCCTACGCTTTTAGCGGTACAGGCGTGTCATCCTAACCAAATATCCAACAGGCACGAATACGTATCTAGTCGGGCGAGGTCGTCAACGCATCCTCATTGACACCGGTCAGGGTGAACCGTCCTGGGCAGCCCGGCTCAAGACTCTTTTGGCAGAAGAGAATGCAACTGTGCATCAGGCCCTCCTCACGCATTGGCATCCAGACCATGTTAAAGGCGTTCCTGACCTCTTAGCATTATGTCCGGACGCTATCATCTACAAGAATGATCCTGACCTCGGCCAAGAGAGCATTGAAGACGGTCAGATCTTCAGTGTTGAAGGTGCAACACTACGAGCATACCATACCCCGGGTCATACGGTTGACCATATGATGTTTGTCCTTGAGGAAGAAGATTCTGTCTTTACGGGCGATCGTGAGTATCATGGCAATTTCTACTTCCTGCCTCATGGCTAACTGCGCTTGTCAGATGTCTTGGGCCATGGCACGAGTGTCTTTGAGGACCTCTCGTCCTATATATCTAGCCTAAAGCGAATGCAGAACCGGGTTTCGGGTCGCGGCTATCCTGGCCACGGAGCTGTCATCGAGAATGCGACAGCAAAGATCACAGAGTACATCAAGCACCGCCAACAGCGAGAGGATGAAGTGGTTCGCGTTCTCCGATATAATCACCTCGATGTTGCAGATGGGGAAGCATCCCCGGAGCGTAAACGGTCCTGGACCCCACTGGAACTAGTCAAGGTGATTTACAAAGATGTGCCGGAAAGCCTTCATCTGCCTGCTTCTAATGGAGTGTTGCTTGTTCTGAAGAAATTAGAGGACGAAGGCCGGGTAAGCCGAGATGCTGATGGGCGATGGGTTCTGGAAACTGGACGATCTGCGCTTTGAGATATTACGAGAAGGGCTGGGTTGTTAAGTTATTATCATCATAGTAGATATATTAGTAGATTTTTGTTTCGGCATTATATGGCATATGTTATTAGGGATCCGATGACTAGCCGCTCACCGATGCAAGAAGATGCCTGTGACCGCCATGCAGTGCGTGCATATTCACCTAATCATAGACATATGATGTTATTCCTGTCATTCGCAACCCTCATCCCTTACATGCTTCTAATGCTACCCAGTATAGATATACCGTACCCATCAACGAGAAGATCGTCAGTCACATCATCATGCTAGTAAAGCTTTCAGCAAATCCACTCCCCCTTCCTTCGGCGTTAATAACCTTGTCAACTGGCGGTCTGATTCCATCGCATCAGTCTTATCACACAACAAGAATGACACCGAATGTGGTAAGAGTATCGAAAATAGCTGTCTCAGAAGCAACACAGAAACATACATAGGCTAGTTATGATGCCATATATTTCTTATGGAGTCACGGAATGGAGCCTCTGGAACTAGTAGTGATTGGTTGAGACCGACTTCATTATGACCATCGAGACTCTTACTTATCGTCTATTTAACCTTAGGAGCAGCGAGATCCGAGTACCAGGTAGAGAGAGATAATGGGTGGGAACTGTGTTCTGGTTATGTCCCCACATCAAACTTGAGCTACCATGACTACTTACTGACTTGCATCCTGGCGCACTGATCTTATCTGACAAAGAAGTCCCCTCGCGAATTAAAGTCAAACATACGATTTCTGTAAGTCTATGCGCCGAGTGTGCCATGGAATGCTATTAGGTAAAAATGATCAACTGAAGTGCATAGCAGTTACCTCACCCACCAGACAGTATTCAGTCAGTCCCTTTTGTCTACACTAAGGAATGTGGCTGTTGTCATAAGACGTAGTGAGTTTCAGAAGCATCAAGATATACCGAGTCAATGAATCCATTAATGTTGGGATCAAAGTAGTATAGAGAGTCCAGACCCGTCCATAACAGCGGGGTCTTGATTTCACCACCCGATTGAAAGCGCCTCTCGGGCAGCAAGAAGGGAAAAAGGTTAACAAGAAGGGAGATGGTGTGAGTGTGTGAGTGAAATCCCGCAACGCTCGTGTTTTGTTCGTACCTTTGCGGGGATCAACATTCATCAAAAAGTATGCAGATGACTTGCTTTTCTCCCCACGCCACCCAAGCGTGTTACTTGGTAGTTGGACCAAGTTGAGAGTGAGTATACAACCGACCAGAATTAAAGATAGTAAGTAGCCTTTATGACTGCTGGGGTGACATTACAATGTTGAACCGTCATCAGGCCATTTGATCTGGGTAGACGAATCAAGTTACATGGACCCCAAGCAGCCGTGGACCTGAAATGAGGAGGAGTAAATAATCGTAGATTTCCCTTGTTGAGGGGAAACTGGAAGTGTTGGCATCATCCAAAGCCAAGGGCGAGTGTGAGTGGCTGGCAAGATTCCGGCATCCATTGCGACCGCTGGTCATCTCTGACTTCATCGCCCACTTCGTCGAAACTACTACTCTTGTCCCCTTGTTCCCCCCAACTCATCTTTCCACCACACCTCTTTTTTTTCTTCCCCCCACTTCTCGTCATCTCTTTCCTGTGAAAGCGATAGGCTGTGAAGCGACTCTACAGAATAAAAAAAGAATAAACAAATCAAAGGAGAACACAAAAAAAGAAGGGAGACACAAGCAACCTGTCGGAGTGTGTGCTGTGATCGATAATCATTTTCCAACCTACAACTTGCAACATCCAGGAATAACAAACTGACTCTTGCTTGCTCGCTGGCCCACATCCATCTTCCTTCTCACTGCTTTTTCCCTGTCGATGAACTTGCTAGTGAGGAGCTCTAGGTGGACTCCCGGCACTACTGCTCTTGGTTCTTCTTCGGCCCAAACCTGGGTCACTTGGTCCGCGCGCCGGTCTCTGAAGTGAGGTCACTCCCCTCGATTCTTCCCCGCCGCCTTCAAGCTGCTTCACAGCATCAGGAAGCACCAAGCACCCAAGCACCAGCTTCTTGGCTTCAAGGCATTCCAGGTCGCCATCCGTGACCTTCCTTTTCTTCCTTTTCTTTTTCTTAACTCCTAAACTTAACCTTCACTCGATCCCTCTTTTGTCATCCCTTAGCTTTCTTGCTCCCGTACCTGGGTTCACTCGGCTTCATTCAATTGGTGAAACAGTGGTCCAAGACTGACAAACCACCCGGCCTTTTCCTTCTTCCTGGTTCTTCACTGAAGACCAACAAGACTCAATTAATTATAATCCGAGAACTACCGTCTCTGCAGCTTACGACCCCAGAGCCCCGCCTCCGTCTACTTTTATTCCTCGTCCCTGGCGTCTTCTTTGATAAGCCAGTCTCGTCCTTTGTCTTCAATTCAGACCCTCATTGGTCGCTTACTCGGTCTAACTAGTAGTACATTTGTACATACTTACAATCTGACTATCTGCGTCGGTGCCCCGCCAATTCCGACAGCATGCCCTCCCTTGAGAACCCCACCTTTCAGAGTGAGGCTCGCTTGCTCCTCGTCTCCAATCGGCTTCCAATTACCATCAAGCGATCGGATGATGGTCGCTATGACTTCTCCATGTCCTCCGGTGGCTTGGTCAGCGGATTGAGTGGCCTGTCCAAGTCCACGACCTTCCAATGGTACGGCTGGCCCGGTTTGGAGGTCCCGGAGGAGGAGATTCCCGTCGTGAAGCAACGCCTGAAGCAGGAGTATAACGCTGTGCCAGTGTTCATTGATGATGAGCTGGCAGATCGTCACTACAATGGCTTCTCTAGTTAGTATTGTCCAACTCTCGATTATACCGAGGATCTGTGATGGTTGCTCCCTCATTGATCCCGGCTGAAGGCGCTTGCTTGCTGACAGATGCCCACTGCTCACAGACTCTATTCTCTGGCCCCTCTTCCATTACCACCCCGGCGAGATTACCTTTGATGAGTCCGCCTGGGAGGCATACAAGGAGGCCAACCGCCTCTTCGCCAAAGCGGTTGCGAAGGAAGTTCAGGATGGAGACTTAATCTGGGTGCA